CTGGGGGTACACGCAGGGCGGTGGGGGCAGCCGGTTGAGGCTTGAGGACTCCCTCCCGCAGAGGCTCATCACCGGTCCGTGCGGCTTGAGCCCCCCTGTGCCCGCCTGTGGGGTTCTGCCCTGACCCCACGTGAGTGGGGCGGCCCCCTGGGGCTGAAGCTTGGGGCTCCGGACTCCCCACCCCAGGTGGGCCCCCTTGGGCCTTAGTGTGGGAAACAGGGTGCCCAGGGAGGTGCTGTTCCGGGGAGCAGAGGCTGTTTCCTCCTGGGGCCGCGGACGCGCTGAGCCCGCTCGCCAGGCTGCCGGCCGGTGTCGGGGTTCATCGGAGCTTCCTGCGGAGCACCCCGTCCCGTGTGGGGCGCGTGTGCTCTCCGAGAGGGGAGGCTGCCGAGAGGACACGAAGCTGCCGGGCTGGGGGCCCGGGGCCCTGCATCAGAGGGCACCTGCCTCAGTGACCGGTCACTGCCGTCCCCCGGGAGGCCAGGCCCTGCAGGGGCCCCGGCCACTCCGGCACCTGTCTTGGACCCGCCTGGGGACGCCGGCCACCTGGCCTGGCCGCGGTCTGCAGGACTGTGCCTGCCGCGGGGTAGGGAGACTGAGGCGCGGAAAGGGGGAGGGGCCCAGGGCCAGTCCGCGGCCCAGCTGGTGGGGTGCGTCCCGGGGCAGACAAGTCTGGGCCAGGGGCGCCGCCAGGGCCAGGCTCGATTACAGCCCAGGAGCTGGTTCCCGGGCGGAGCAAGCAGGCGCCATGTGCCCTCGCCCCTCCCGCGCCAACGAAGGCCTTGGCTCCGGCTCTGGGCTTTCCTGGGGCTCTGGGGCTTGAACCTTGTGTCCTGTTGGGGGCCAGGCGGGCCTGGGGCCGGAGTCTGTGCGACCCAGTGCCTCCTCCCAGAGCACCCAAGCCGGGCCGGGGCGGTGGAGAGGAGACCTCGTCCCCTAAAGCTGGCAAGCCCCAGCCAAGGGAGTTCCCATGGCAACCTGAGCCGTTGCTTGGCAACTGCAGACCCCCAAAATACTGGCTTCAGAGCCCACTCAGGGCAGGTGCACCCACCTTCTTCATGGTTGATGCCCCCACCCCCGGGCCCTTCCTGAGGAAAACCCCAGTCTACTCCCCGACTCTCCCGCCCGCATCTGGCCAGTGCCCTTGCGACAGCCTGGAGCCCTGAGTGGCAGCTGACGGTGACAGAATGCCAGAAAATGGGGGCTCGCACGGCACAGTGGGTGGGCCAGGGCGGCCAGGGAGGGGCCGGGCGCCGGTGGGCAGGGCAGGGCAGGGCCCCCGGCGTGCGGAGGGTCCGGCTCCTGGCCAGCTCCGACCCCGTGGGCTGCGCCGCCCGGCTGAGGTCCTTCCCACGCACGCGGTTTGCCCGTGTCTGCATCCCCAGGCGTGAGGAGCATGCCCGGTGCGGGTGCTGCCCGGGGCTGCCTACGGACTGGGGCTGAGGCCGCCCAGCCTGGCCTCTGGCTCGGCCTCTGGCTCCTCTCCGCCAGCCGCTCCATCCCGGACTCAGCCACAGCCTCGGAGATGGACCCCCACCCACGCCCCCACTCCACGCCTGTCCTGGGCTCCCACAGCCAGGACAGCCTGGCCGTGGGCATGCGGGGTGCAGGGAGCCTGTGTCCTGCTGACGTGGGGAGGGGCCAGCCCGACCTAGGACAGGTGGGGGGCCCCAGGGACAGGCGGCCTGGAGCTTGAAGCTGGAAAGGGTGTGAGCAGCTGTCCCCAGAGGCGCTGGGGGGGTGGGGACCCCGGACCTCCCCAGGGGGTTCCAGGCGCAGTGAGAAGCCAGCTTTCCCTCCGACCTTGACCAGACCCTCACTGTGACCCCCCACCTGGCCCTTCTGAGTGCCCCTCTCGCCCCCGCTGGCAGGGAGGGGGCACACCCCCTCGGAGGGGGGCACCCGCAGTGCTGGGTTTGGGGGCAGCAAAGGGGTGGCGACCAGCGGCCAGCCGCCTGCAGTGGGCGGAGGGGCGGGGCGGCGGCTGCGCAGACAATGGCCCGCAGGCCCCTGGGGTGTCTGGCGCCTGGGCCAGAGCCCACCAGTTGCCCCAGCGCCCCGCGCCCCTGCGCCCTTGTTCATGCTGGCGGTGCCGCCAGGGCCCAGGAGGTGAGAGGGCCCCCCACCCGCGGGAACGAGACTCCCCGGCGCCCTGCCCACCTTGGGTCGGGGTGAGTGCAGATGAGCCCGACTCAGGGGCCCTAAGACTAACCCCCAGCCGGTTCCCCAGGAGAGGGCACAGAGGCGGCCTCTGGACTGGGGTGCAGGAGGCCTCCCCGCAAGGAGTGACCTGAGGCCATTCAGGGTCCCACCTCTCCCACCCGGCCCCTCTGGGGACACCTCCTGACCTCACCCCGGTCACAGTGTCCCTTTCCCAGGTTACTGGCCTGTGCAGAGGTGGACAGGGAGGGGTTAACCCCTTGGGACTGCCACCGCCTGCCTGGCCTGCAGGGAATTTGCTCCCTGGGTGCCTGATCTGCCCAAGCCCACCTGGCTGGGCCCAGTGCGAGGGAGCGGGTGCCCGGCCTGATTATGGTCTCACTGGGAGCCCTGGGGCCAGGCCTGCCGGAGGTCTGGAGGTCAAGGCAAGTGGGAGGCCTGGACTCAGGGCCCGGCCCGGCCAGACCCTGTAGGCTCGGGGTCAGGTGTGTGAAAGTTCCTGAAGCACCTGGCGCTTGGCGGCCCTCTGCTGGTGCCAGGGATTGTCTGGGCCCCCCCAAGGCCCACCAGCAGCTTGACTGTCCCTGGGGAGCGGGGGTGGCGCTGGCAGGGGCAGATTCCCTCGCTGGCCCTCGGGAGCCCAGTCACCAGGTGGGGAGAGCAGGGGCGCGGTGATGAGCCAGCTGCTCCGCCTGGGTCTGCCTCCTCCCTGTCCCCCAGGGGTGCTGACCAGGACGCAGGTGGCCTGAGTGCCCGCTGGCCCTCCAGGGTTGTGTTGCAAGGCTGAGGCTGTGCCAGGTGGCTCCCGTGGGCGTGGGCAGTGCCCAGCGTGGAGGGCTGAGCCAGCACCTGCACGCCCGCACCTCGGGGCAGTTCCTTCCCAGCCGCTGGGCCCCAAGGCCCTGTGCAGAGCAGGGGCCTCCTGCCCCACCCCAGCCCTGGGCATGGGTCTGTGGGGCCTGCCAGGCCCCGAGGCCTCGGGGTGTTGGGAGTCTTTCCCTGCCTGTGGGCGACTGTGGGCTCTCAGCTAGCTCGGGGGTGCCAGGCGGCGGCCGAGCACGCGCGTGGGCAGGGTCGGCTGCAGGGGCACAGCGGTGGCCGAGACCGCGCGTGCTCCGAGCCTGCACCTTGCGCCCAAATCACCGGGCCTGACCTGACTGAGGGCCGCTCCCCGCCTGGAGCTGGGCCCTCGTCTGTTCCGTGGGGGGCCGCTGGTGCCATCCTGTCCAGTCTCGCGGTCCAGGTATGAGCAGGTGGGTGTGCAGCCTTCTGCAGGACAAACCAAGCGAGGAGCAAAGTGCAGGCTTGGCTGGCAGAGGGCGGGTGGCCCGAGCTGCCGAGGGGCCTCGGTGCCCTGCAAGCCAAGGCACTGTCCTGGCCGGGCAGCGCTTCCTTGGGGGGGCTGTGGGGCAGCGGGCAGTGGGGCCCCACCACCTCCCAGCAGCCGGCTGGAGCCCTGGGTCCTTTCCAGAGGCCAGGGTGGCTCAGGCGGCCCCCCCGAAAGGGCGGCCCTGCTTCCCAGGCCCTGGCGGGTGGCAGGCGGGTGGCGGCCCCGGCACTCCGTGTCCCTGGCACAGCGGATAGCCCGCTCCACAAGGGCCCGTTTGTCCTGACTCTCCTGGCCTTGAAGCCCCAAGTGACCAGGCCCTGCTGGACACAGGGGCCGACTGTGGGCCCAGCGCCCTTCCCCCCAGACTCAGGAGGTCCTGGCTGTGCTTTGGGGTGAAGGGGGGTGCATAGCCAGGCCAGTCCAGACTGGAGTCACCTGCTTGCCCAGTGAGCAAAGGCCTGGCCCCCCGGGACTTGCACCAACCGACTAGGAAGGAGTGAGAACCCAGGGTGAAGCAGCCGAGCTGACCTGCTCCCTCCTGCCACTCCCCGAAGCAGGGGCCCCGGCCGCAGCCAGCTCTGGGAAGCACTTTCGTGGGAGGGCATTTGGCCGGGGCCTCGCCTCCTCGTCTAGGAAGCTTCCGGGGATCTCCCACCTGGGCCTTTCTTTGATTTAGGATTTGTTTGTGCAGACAAGAACTGGGGTGCAGGCCAGAGGTAGCGGGAGGATTCGCCAGAGACAGTGGGGAGCAGACCCAGCGGAGCTACTGAAACACTGCCCAGGGGAGCAGCGGGCACACGGGGGGGGGGTCTGCCGGGCCCTGGGGGTCCCTCCCTGGCGCTGCCAGGAGCTGGGTACCGGGGTAACCCCTGCGCCCCCAGGGAGGCCGCCTGGAACTCTAGCTCTGGATTCTGTATTTGCAAGCCCAGGAACTTTGGGCTACAGGAGCCCCGTGGGCCCCGGGGCTGGGTGCTCGCCTGGGGCCGGGGAGACGCCTCTGTGCGGGGGCGGTGCTGGCTGGAGCCCTCGGCGCTGTCCTCTGCTTCCTCGCGCCGGTGGCGAGGAGCTGGGAGCCCAGGGCCGTCCCGCCGCC